TCTTTACATTGATAGCCCGGCCTGGCGGAACAACAAGGTTTTGAGGGCACAGCGAAATACACGGAGATCGGAGATCTTATGCATTTCTGGGGGCAGTTCATTCCAAAGGGCAGGGGCTCCCACAGAGAAGGCCCTCCCCCTGGGTGTCGCCAGCCGACATAATTTGGCCGATGGCACCCTGAGGAGACCCTCTTTGTGGGAGCGGACTGGACAAAGAGTTGTAAACTGAAGGAGAGATGCAAAGGATCATCTTACTAAGCCTCTACAACCGTGATGGCGAACCTATGGCACACGTGCCATAGGTGGCACGCGGAGCCATATCTGTGGGCACACGAGCGTTGCCCTAGCTCAGCTCCAGCACGCATGTGTGTGCCGGTCAGCTGATTTTTGGGCCTTCCAGGCCCACCAGAAGTCGGGAAATGTATTGTTTCCAGCCTCCGGAGGGCCTCCATGGAGGTGGGGAAGGCTATTTTCACCCTCCCTAGGCTCCAAGAAAGCCTCTGGAGCCTGGGGAGTGTGAAAAAAGGGCCTACTGGGCCCAACGTGCCATTGCGTGCCAAAAGCGGGGGAAGCATGTGGGGGTCACGTGCGCATGTGTGTGGGGGGGCATGGCACATTGAATTATGGGTGTGGACATGAGTGCATGCATTCCCTCTGCACTCCCTCCACTTTTGGCACACGATGGCAAAAAGGTTAGCCATCACTGCTCTACAACTTGCAGGAAAACAAAACAAACCATGTCAGAGTTTGCAGCAATCCAACCAGCATACAAGTAAAGAATTCAGCAGGATTCGTTTATAAAAGAAACTTCTTTATATACAACAACGTAAAGCACGATGCATGTATACAATACCCATGCAGCAGAACTCAGAATCCAGAACCACAGAATCTGGTGAGCTGCATTGCTGTTGTTTGGCTTCGTGTTCGTGGTCGTGCCACATCTTCATGGTGGGTGTCAGTTTGCTTCATGTATGGATTGGAGGGATTTAAAGTGGCTAATGATGCAGCTGTGGTCTGGCTTCTGGTTTGTGGTCGTGCCTCATCGGTGTGGGCTTGCTTTTTGCGTGGATGTGTGGTGGTGACATCCTGTGTGGTTTTCGTGAGTGTGGGTCTGGTGTCATTCTTTGTGTTAGGGACTCGTTTGTCAATAAGGGCAGGTTTCCAAATGGCTGGTAGGCGGGAGGTATCATCTCGTTTATTCATGCTGTGTGGACGTTTTTCTATCTCGATGGCTTCTCTGATTATTCTGTTGTTAAAGTGTTCAGTTTTGGCGATAGTTCTGGTCTTTTTAAAGTCAATATCATGTCCTGTGGCTTTGAGGTGTTGGACCAGGGAAGAAGTTGGTTCATCTTTTCTGACTGAGTTCTTGTGTTCTTCAATGCGTGCACTTATTCTTCTGTTGGTTTGTCCGATGTATGTGGTGGGGCAGGCGGTGCATAGGATTTCATATACTCCTTGATTTTCTAACTCAATTTTGTCTTTGGGGTTTCTTAGGATGGTGGATATTTTTCGGCTTGTGCAGAATGCTGTCTTGATGTTGTGTTTGTGGAGGATCTTGCTGATTCTGTCTGTGGTGCCTTTTATGTATGGGAGGAGGACTTTGCAGTTTTCTTGTTCTCTGTCTTGGATTTTAGTGGGGGTTTCTTTTTGGATTAGGTTGGTAATCTTATTTCTTTGGAATCCATTTATATACATATATACATATATACATAATATATACATATATATATATACATATATATATATATATACATATATATATATATACATATACATATATATATATATGTATATAAAAAATTTATTTATTGGTTCGATTTATATGCCACCCTTCTCCAGAGACTCAGGGCGGCTTACAATGCGTTAAGCAATAGCCTTCATACTTTTGTATATACCTGCTTAGTAGAGCTTTCGGCCTCCCCTAAGTGGTGTTCTTTTTTATACAAAGTCAGCTTATTGCCCCCACAATCCGGGTCCTCATTTTATCTACCTCAAAAGGATGGAAGGCTGAGTCAACCTTGAGCCTGGTGAGATTTGAACTTGCAGTAATTCCAGGCAGCTGGTGCTACTTAACAGCACTTTAGTCTGCTGCGCCACCAAGGTTCTTTATTGTTCTAAAATGCTGTTATTGTTTCATTTTCAAACAGACATGAAGATAATAAACAATTCACCCTACACACAAACAAAAGAGAAATGTTAAAGAAGAAAATACGTAAAAAGAACATAAAAAAAATACTGTGTAATTACAACTATAGCCCAGGTTTACCTGATTTTGTGTTTTGCAAGAAAAAAAAAATTAAGCTTTTTAATGGTGAACCAAGCCTGTTCAAAATGTTTTCTCAATGGGAGAGGTAATATGACATTTTCTGATTAACCAAATATACAATTTTCTCCCAAACTGCGTAATCACACATCCCTGAAATCCAATCCTTTATCTCTGGAATTAAGAGTATTTTTCCACCTCCCAAGGATTACTCGTTTGGCTATTGTTAGAGCATGAAAAACCCATCTTCATTCTGAACATATTAAATTCCAAATATCATTATATAATTCAGTAGAATACACATATCTTTGAAAACTAGTTTTCTCGTCCGTCAACATATTATATAACATTACAGTACTCCCAAAAAGGTTGTAAGGAACATGACCATAACATATGAGTTACAGGGCCCTCAAATACCTTGTGATGCCAACATAAATAACACCTCCCCACACTTGGTTGCAGCTTCTTGCCCATTACCAGGTTCTCTCCAGCATCCATCCCTCCCTCCCTCCACCCACCATATTTGTCTGTCTCATCTAGCTCTTCTTGTCCAATCATCTCATCCATCTCTCTATCCATTATCTCTCTCCATCCATCCATCCATCTACCTACCTATCCATCCATCATGTCTGTCTGTCTGTCTATCCATCCACCTTCCTATCTACCTATCATCTATTTATCTATCTATCTATCTATCTGTCTGTCTGTCTGTCTGTCTGTCTGTCTATCCATCCATCCATCCATCCATCCATCCATCCATCCATCCATCCATCATCTGTCTGTCTATCTAGCCATCTACCTTCCTATCTATCATCTATTTACTATCTATCTACCCATCCATCCATCATGTTTGTCTATCCATCCACCTTCCTATCTACCTATCACCTATTTACCTATCTATCTATCCATCCATCCATCATGTCTATCTATCCATCTACCTTCCTATCTATCATCTATTTACCTATCTATCTATCTATCTCTCCATCCATCCATCCATCATCTGTCTGTCTATCTATCCATCTACCTTCCTATCTATCTACCTATCATCCATCCATCCCTCCATCCAATCCATCCATCCATCCATCTCTATTTCTATCTCTTAACTATATCAATCTATCAATCTCTCTCTCTCTCTCTCTCTCCCTATCTCTTCCTGTCCATAGTTGGGCATCCTTAACACCAACTGAGGTGTTACTATTATAGAGACGTGGATCCGTTTTCTCAGAGCGCCTGAAGTTACACCTGGCGCACCAGCCTGGTTCGCTTAACTGGGGTTAATGTACGAAGAAGTCTACCTTAAGGATCAGGTGTGCAAAGCACCGGAAGCAGAGATATCTCCGGGGTCTGGTTGAAAAAGTCAAAATGGCACCCCCATCCATACAAAACAAAGCTCCACCTATTATTATTATTATTTATATGTCATCATCTGGGGAGCTCCAATTGCACCATTGGGTGGCTGCCATCTTGACTTTTATTTTTTTTATAAAAATACATATATTTTAGGAGGCTAAATGCCTCCTACCAAGGCAGCATTTAACATCCAGCTGCCTGCAATTACTGTGAGTTCAATTCTCACCAGGCTCAAGGTCGACTCAGCCTTCCATCCTTTCTAAGGTGGGTAAAATGAGGAGCCAATTTGTGGGGGCAATAAGCTGACTTTGTATAAAATATACAAAGGTATGAAAGCTATTGCTTAACACATTGTAAGCCGCCCTGAGTCTCCGGAGAAGGGCGGCATATAAAAATAAAATTAAATAAATAAATAAATAAAAAAAAAACCCCTACCCGGGAAGTACTCTTCAAGCCTTATATAGGAGCCTTGATAGTACAGTGGTTTAGTGCACCCTGTTATTAAACACAGCTGCCTGCAATTTCTGCTGGTTTGAATCTCTCCAAGGCTCAAGGTTGACTCAGCCTTCCATCCTTTCTAAGGTAGGTGAAATGAGGACCCAGTTTGTGGGGGCCATAAACTGACTTTGTATAAAATATACAAAAGAATGAAGGCTATTGCTTAACGCATTGTAAGCCGCCCTGAGTCTCCGGAGAAGGGCGGCATATAAATCAAATTTAAAAAAAATAAAAATAAAAAAAAAAAAACAGTTCAACGCAACAGGGCAAGGCAAAGATTTGGCCTTTAGTCCAAAGTAGGACACCTCCTAACTGGGACTGGCTCATTGCCCAAACACTAAACCCCAAAAGCTGTCTCTTCTTGGTCGGGTGGGAACCCAACCCAGCGTGGCCAGAAGTCAGCTTCCATTGAAGGGTGGTGGGGGGGAGGACTGAGGCTCCCAGATAGCACAGCCCGGGGCCAAAGCGTCGTGGGAAGGCCGCCAGCCAGCCCACCCCCCTTTTTTTTCCCCTCCCTCCCCTCCAAGCCCGCCGCAGAGATCGCCTCCTCCTCCTCCTCCTCTTCCTCCTCCTCTCTCCACCAGGATGCTCCCTGCCTCCTTTCCTTCCCCAGGGAGGAGGCCGCCTGCCTGCCTGCCTGCCTCCCTCCCTCCCTTCGCCAAGCGGGCGCCCTCCCCCCCATTTCTCCCCCCTCCTCCCGTCCTCCTCCGAGATGCCCCTCCCGGCCCCTTGGCGCCCATCCAGCAGCAACGGCAGCGCCCCAGAGCCGGAGCTGGCACGGCGGCCACGCGAGGGGAGGAGGAGAGAGCGCGGAGGAAGGCGGGCGCCTTCGGAGCGGGCGGAGGAAAGAGGCGTGCGAAGAGCCAGCCGGCCATGGCAGCGCTAGCGGCGGCGGCGGCGGCTGCCGGCAGGAAGGGAGGCGAGCGCCGGGGGCGGCGGCAGCAGCAGCAGCAGGAGCAGCGGCAGCGGCAAAAGCCGGCTCGGGGCATCTGATTGGAGCCGCCGCGTCCGGGCAGCTCGCTCGCTCGCGCGGGCGGGGAGGCGGCCAAAGAGCCGCGCAGGAGGCAGCGGGAGGCGGAGGATGCAGGCGAAGAAGTCCCGCGGCTCCTCGACGGGTAGCGGCGGCGGCAGCGGCGGTGGAAGCGGAGGAAGCAGCGGCGAGCTGCAAGGGGACGAAGCGCAGCGCGCCAAGAAGCGGAAAAAGAAGGGCTCGCGCTTCGCCAGCATCCAGGTCTTCCTGGTGTCCGAGTGCGTCCTGATGCTGGCCCAGGGCACCGTGGGCGCCTACCTGGTGAGCGCCCGAGGGTGGGCAAGGGAGAGGAGAGGAGAGGAGAGGGGCGACGGAGTCTTGGCAGGAAGGCGAGAGAGTGGGGGGCGGGGGGACCACCAGGCGCCGTTTGGAAGGAGAGGAGAGGACCGTGGTGGTGGTGGTGGTGGTGATGATGATGATGATGATGAGGGAGGGGAGGGGGGGGAAAGGTTTGCCTCCGATCCCGTTGACCGACCCAAGATTGGGATCCTGCCACCTTATCCTGAGAACCCCACGTATATTCATTGGGGGAGGGGAGAGGGGGGGACGACCACGGGGGGGGGGGGTCGGCGTGGGGGGTGGGGGGGGGGGGGGGAGGAGGAGGGTGAGGATGATGATGATGATGATGATGATGATGATGATGGAGGGGAGGGGGAAAGGTTTGCCTCCGATCCCGTTGACCTACCCAAGATTGGGATCCTGCCACCTTATCCTGGGAGCCCACGTATATTCATTGGGGGAAGGGAGAGAGGGGGGGTTTAGTCTTCTTGCTTGTTGGCTCTCATTCCCCCCCCCCAAGCCTCCCCCCCCAAAACCCTCCGGCCCCGGGGCTGCTATGTCCCTGCCGCCCCGCCCGAGCGCGGAGAGGCTGCAGAGGCGGCCGAAGGAGCGCACGAGGTGGCGTTGGCTTTGGCGGTGCGCCCTTGCCTGCCTCTCTTTGCCGCTTCTTGCCCGGGTCTTGTGCCAGGCTTGCGGGAGGCGCGAAGGTGCTGCGAAGGGGCGTGTTTGGCGCAGGTTTTGCCGTTGACTGACACCGCCGGCCAGCCAGGCGCAGCCCCCCCCCCAACTCCCTCTCTCCCCGGTCCCACTGCACGGGTGTTCGCGCCTCCGCCTTCCACGGCCGGCCGGCCTGCCTGCCACCGTCTTGGGCTGACCCAGGAAGAGCTAAAAATCCCTTAGCCGGCTTTAGCCCCGCTCGGACCCGGCGGGCAGGGGCGAGAGTTAGTCCGAATTACCCCCAACTGCCCGCTTCCCCGAGAAGTGGTCCACGGCCGCCTCCCGCTTCGTGCGCTGGGGAGCGTGGACCGCTTTCTGAATTGCGCCCTTTGCTAAGTGGACGCGCTTCCTGCGCTTGGGTTGGGTAGGGTAGCTTTTAAGGGTTTGGGTCCCTTCCAAAGGGAAGACGGGCCTTCCGAGTTCTCTCGTTAATGAAACGAATTCAACTTGTGCCTTGCCAGGGACGAGAGAAGTAGTACGGAGCAAGTAGGAAGCGAGTAAGGGAGAGGTGGGAGAGGTGCGGAGTTGATAAGGTGACCTCCCGGTTTAACTCCTTTCAGCTGCAGGAAAGACTTGCAGAGTTTTGTTTTTTTTAAAAAAAAAACCTAACTGGTAGGTAGCATGGTTTATTAAATGAATGGACTCGAGCATGGTTTATTAAATTAATTCAAGGTTCTGAAAAATCCAGCAGCTGACTATAGGGATTGGGTTGAAGGAACTGGCGCAGCTGAATTGCGAGGCTGCCTATCCATTGGGTTCAGCCCATTTGATTGCAATCATTGGATGCTTTTGCTTCACTGAGTTCAGCTGAAGTTTGACAGGTATTTGGAACTTCCATGGGGCTTCTCCTGCTTTAAGTCAACCCCATTCTCTTTTAACGTTATTCTGGCCCTTCTTTCGGTTTCGTGGTTTAAATAATTTGTAAGCCTCCCAGAATCTCTGGGAAGCCAGCCTGCATATAAATTTATATCATCATCATCATCATCATCGTCATCATCATCATCATCATCATCATCATCATCTTAAGAAGGTACTTGGTTGATACCTAGGACGCTGGCAGCAACCCATATCAACCATTAGCACCAGTCAATGGTATTTGTGACACATTTTTAAATGTCCAGTTGACTGAGTTTCATTTTTAATGAATAAAAGAGAATAATAATAATAATAACTAAATCTTAAGAAGGTACTTGGTTGATCCCTAGGACGCTGGCAGCAATCCGTATCAACCATTAGCACCAGTCAATGGTATTTGTGATGCATTTTTGAATGTTCAGTTGACTGAACATGTTTCATGTTTAAATAATAATAATAATAATAATAATAATAATAATAATAATAATAATATCACCACCGCCTAGGATGCTGGCAGCAACCCGTATCAACCATTAGTACCAGTCAATCATATTTGTGACACATTTTTAAATGTTCAGTCGTCTTGAGTTTCATGGTTAATGAATAAAAGAGATAATAATAATAATGCTATTGTTTTCAGGCCTGCCTAACAGACCTGTTCTAAAGCTGCCTTAGAAAAAGGTTTCAAGCAAAAACTTAAAAAGTCCTCCCTGCGCTAGAAGTCAAAATGCCAATGGATACTTAAATTCATCTCTCTATCCTGCTCTCTCCCTCCTTCTCTTTTTTCCCCCACTGATGTCTTCTCCTTTGAAATGCAAAGCATCAGCTGACTTGGGGGGGGGGAGAGAGAGAGAAAAAACCTTGCTTGTCCCTGATAACAGCCTTTAATCTGCAGAGGCTTCACAGCAGAGAAATAAGCACTATCATCACTTGCTAATGTCTGTAGATGACATTGCTGTTTGAAGGCCCTTTAAGAGAGGGGAGAGTGGCCACATTAAATAAATAAAGAATTGTAAGCTCTCTGGAGCGGAGACCCTTTTGCTTAGAGTTCTCTGTGTCCACGGAGGAGACGACAGTGCAGTGATCCTTGTTACAGCCTCCTGAATTTACAGCCCTTCCAGATGTGTTGGGAATTACAACTCCTGGCATTCTCAGCCACACCTGGAAGGGACCCATTGTGGATTGTGCTTCCTTGTGTGGTGAGCTTGTAAAGGTGAGCTTTCTGGAAGACAGGATCTCAGGAGAGCAATGGCCCAAGAGAAACTGAAAAATGGAAGAGGGCTGAGGGAAGGAAAATGTATTTTTGCAAACCTTTGCCTTGTGCATCTCTCTTAAGCCATTCGGTGCCGTCAAAGTGACTCGGTATTTGCTATGGGGCAACCTCTCTGTGTGGGAAGAGAGCAAGGGAACAAATAAGATGCATTCAGAACTAGGCCGGGGGGAGAAAAGGCAAAAGAGTATAGATTGTCCTCGATTTATGACCGCGATTGAGCCTGAAATTTCTGTCGCTAAGTGAAACATTTGTTCAGTGAGGTTGCCCCGTTTTACGACTTTTCATGCCGCCGTTGTTAAGGGAATCACTGCAGTTGGTAAATTAGTAACACGGGTGTTAAGCGAATCCGGCTTCCCCCTGGACTTGGCTTGTCAGAAGGTCTCAAAAGGGGATCGCGTGACCCTCCCCCCCTGGATACTGTAATCGTCATAAATACGAGTCAGTTGCCAAGCGTCCGAGTTCTGAACATGCGACCACGGGGATGCTGCAATGGTCACAAGTGTGCAAAATGGTCATAAGCCGTGGTGGTATTCAGACCGTTCTAGCCGGTTCGGGCGAATCAGTAGCGGCGGCTGCGGGAGGCTCCGCCCACCCGCCTAGACGTCATCATATCCCCGTTTTTGACGTTTTGTGCATGCGCTCACATTTGCGAACTGGTAGTGAAGGTAAGTGAATGCCACCCCTGGTCATACGTCACTTTTTTCAGTGATGTTGTAACTTTGAATGGTCACTAAATGAACTGTTGTAAGCCGAGGACTACCTGTACAGGGTTAGTTGGTGGGAGGGCAGGAGGCTTAGCTGCCCTGCTGGCCGATTGGATGTGTGTGTGCCTGAGAAGTGGAAAAGGAGAGAGAGCAGGAGAGCTGTCTGTTTCATTTTCCCATCCTGGAGCAAAACGGCAGCGGGGCAGTTACGAATCTCCGATCTGCTTCGGCATTTCCAAGACCAGTTCATACAAGAGGGCTGTTCCCAGGTTGGTTGGTTTAGCCCAGGGGTCAGCAACCTTAAACACTCAAAGAGCCACAAAGGTCCTAACCGGAAGCCCCCCATTCAATTCTGGAGTCAACCGGAAGTCCAGTTGCCCCACCATAGAGTCTCCTCCTAGCACAGCATCCTTTTTCCTCTGCTGACCAGAAGTCCGGTTCCCCCCACCATAGAGTCTCCTCCTAGCGTGGCGTCCTTATTCCTCTACCTGTCCTAATTAAAAGCCCTATCAATTGTGGAGCCGACCAGCAACAGGGAGCCGCAGCAGAGGGATGAAAGAGCCACATGCGGCTCCAGAGCCGCGGGTTGCTGACCCCTGGTTTAGCCAAATGGGGTAAGGAGAACTGGTCAGTTCTTGCAAAAAACAAAACAAAAAAAAATAGTGGAAAGTATTTTAAGAAAAGTACTTTGCAAGCAGGACTGGGCTGGGCATTTAAGCATTTTATTCAGTGCAATTCATTTTCCACTTGATAAAGTACCCATCAAATTGAGTTTAGCGCAACCAACTCTTAAAAGCATATTTTTTTTAAAAAAAAATAGGTACACAAACATGGTTTCTGAAAATGAACGGATGTGCAGAATACTACGGTGGGATCTTAGTCCTATGCAAAAAAATAAAAATAAAAATAAAAATAAAAATGGGAGAGGCCATTGGTTCTCTAATTCTGAGCTCTGCTTCTGCTTTTCATACTTATTTAAATCAAGTTGACTTGTTTTTTATTTGACTTGTCCAAAATAAGCATCACAGACTTCAGTCCCGAGATAGACTCTGTATGGCAGGTTTACAATTTGAAAAATTATGCCTTCGTATAACATCGGACTATAGACTCCGGGTGATGTCATAATTGCATTCTTCTCCGGGATACGGGTGGGAAAATTCTAATCCTCTTGAAGAAACTCCCTGGGATTTAATTAATTTGAAGTCTCCCTGTTTGAACACTTGTTCCCTTTCTTAGATAGTTTTTTTTTATTTTATTCCCTCTTAAGTCACTTTTTATTTTAACCTGAGCTGCCAGAAACGTGCCCCAAATACATGTAATTCCTGGCTGCTTTAGAATAATGAATGCACAAGCTGTTTTTTATTATTATTATTATTCTGTAAATGTCTTCTGTTAAGTGGTAGAAAATTATTATTTTGCCCTGTAGCTGAAGG